TTGAATTTTTCAACAGGGAAATTAGAAGACTCGATTTCATCAAACAGAGAATCTTTCACAAAAATTTCTGGCATTAGAAACTCTGCAGATTTTCGAATATCCTCATACGAAATTGTATCGACAGATTTCAGCATTAACCACTTAGAAGAAGACGGATAATCAGTAATTCTTAACCACTTCTGAATGTAATCAACAGATGTCGAATAAAATGTTGAAAACTCCTTTTCTATGCGATTAGCTAAATTAGAATCCTCTAATGATTGCAACTTTAATTGAGTCATGGCACCAAAATTTTTCTGCATCCTGTCAGTGAGTTTTTGTGACAGATTTTCGACAGATTCTATCATTTCAGGAAGCACAAGGTCTTTTTTTCAAGTATCAGCAAAGTTTGCTGAAACAGCTGCAATGAGCTCTGTAGAAACCAGAAGTAGATTTCATTTGAATCATCAGAGAATAAATTTTCCAGAACCTTTGGAATGTCATCCGTTGATAGAACTAGTGATTTTAAGCCACCCCATAACTGTAAAATTCGTTCAATCAATGGAAGAAGGCTTAACCATCGTGTGCGAGTATGAGTTGGAAATTTAGCATATTGAATTTCCATAAATTCACAAAATTCTTTAAATTTTTCATGTCGCAGCGTGGATCCATTGAAATAGCTTAAGATTTTGAACAGCAACGATTCAATGTCAAGTGAAAACCTTTCACAGGATTTTTTAGCTGCATTATGGAGAATGTGAGCTGGACAGGCTACAGCAATCAGTTTTGATTGAATGTTTTTCAATTTGGCAAAAACGTTATTTTGACCATTCTGTTTTGCTCCACCAAAGTTTACATTAGCGTTGTCAGCACTGAACGCTACCAAATTATTAGGACTCAATTTGAATCTCTCAAGTACAGTCATTACATATTTGAAAATCAATTCTGACGTTTCTCCTGGCAAATTTGAAAACTCTAACAATTTAACTTTCAATCCTTCATGCGAAAAATACCGAATAATGATAGGGAATGTTTTGATTTCTTTAAAATTTGACGAGTCGGTTGCAATAGAAAACGACTCGCTGCCCAATTCAGACAAAAGATTCTCAATTGATTTCGGAGCCAATATTCTTGAAATGATTGCCTGCGTTTTTGTTTGAGCAGATGAAAATTTCTGACCAGTTTCCGATTCAGCGAAAACAGTTGAAATTAAACGATTTGTACAATCTGCAGCTTTAAACGATAACGAGTGAAAAGCGACATGATATGCAAATGCTCCTTCTGCTGCAGCAGTTTTTCTAGATGTGGGCAAATTATTACTATGAAAAAATGTTGATATTCCGACAGTAGACTTTTTAATTTTCACGTTGTTTTTGTGAACTTCTTTTTCAAAATGTTGTTTAGTAGATGAAACGCCTGCGTTCGCAATACTAACATCAGTTGAACAATATTCGCAAAAGGCATAATTTTCACCTTTTTTACTTTTTTTAATCCCTGGAAGTCAGTTGAAAACTGTTCACGATAAACTCTTTTTCTTTTTGACATTGTTAATTTTATAATTTAAATTAGTTTTATTTATTAATTTATTTGATAAAATTAAAAAAATTTAGATTAAAAAAAGAGGCTGTATAATATAAACGTCACGCGAAGAAGAGGACGCGCTCCACGCACAGTGAAGTTAGATGGACATGAAATCATAAATAGTATTGTTATAGAAGTTATTTCGAACCATGGAATTTTAATCTATAGATTGGACAGAACATAAGCATTATATACCTGGAAACAATTATTAAGACCAGCATTATGATTTATGATGAATAAATAATTATTTTATTTTTTTTAATTATTTTAAGCATTATGATTATTGATTTATATTTATGATGTGATGTTGTATTGATATTTTCAGACTTAATAATGAAAAAAAGGACAAAAAAAGGACACATTTTAAAAAAAAGGACAAAATTAAAGAAATTGAAGAACAGATTTTAAAAAGGACACCAATGCAAAAAAAAGGACTGTCCTCTTAAAAAAAAGGACATATGGGAGCCCTACTCTTGAAATTCGAAAATCATTTATTCTAAATTATTTATTTCTTAACTTGTGTTTTTTAAATAAAAATTTATTTAAACATTTAATAATTAAATGGGTACTAAAAAGAAGCCGAAAGACACCTCTTTGGAGATGAGGACATCTGAAAGCGACCTCGGTTTAAAGTTGTGTGAAGATTGCCTTAGCTGCAATAGACTGGCCCAAATTCTTAAGGAGAATTTGCTTTGTGAAAGTTCCGTTCCAGTAGTTGAGGTACTAAGTGCAGAAATTAAAACCTCAACTCAGTCTATGATATCAAGGATGAATTTTCTTGAAGAGGCTGTAAGTGTGGTATTTGATGATTGGAGAATTAGTCACGTTGTTCCCTTGCACAAAAAAGGACGCAAAGATTTAGTTCAGAATTATCGTCCAATTGCGCTTACATCAATTTGCTGTAAGATTCTGGAGTCATTAATAAAAGATCACATTATGGATTATTTTCTGAAAAATAATTTGTTTTCAAGTAATCAATTTGGTTTCATCCCAGGTCGTTCAACGGTTTTGAATCTTTTGAAATTTTAGGACGTGGTGACTGAAGGAGTAGATCGTGGTTACGAGGTTTGTGTGGCGTACTTGGACCTCGAGAAGGCGTTCGATAAAGTATCCCATAGTCGTTTGTTGTTCGAGCTTGAACAGTATGGTGTGAATCATAAGATAGTAAAGTGGATTGATAAATATCTTCAGGGCAGGGTGTTTCAAGTCAAGTTAAACAACACTTTATCGAAACCAAGACCTGTCTTGAGTGGAGTCCCTCAGGGTGGTGTTCTAAGTCCTCTGCTACTTCTCATCTATATTAATGACGTTTCTTCCATTTGTGATAGTATGTTCCTTTTCGCTGATGACTCAAAATTATTTAAAGTAATAAAGTGTGAGGAAGATAAAATAAATTTTTTGAAAGATTTTGTGAACATGATGAATTGGTTTAAAACTTGGAGGTTGAAGTTGAATTCAAACAAATGTCAGCTCCTAAGAATAGGATCGAATAAACCAAGCCCGCCATTTACTATACTAGATGATGATGGTTTGACGTTTCAGTTACCTGAGGTTGAGGAAGTATTTGATCTGGGGGTTATTATTGACAACAAGTTGAAGTTTAAAAATCATGTGCTAAAGGTAGTTCATAGAGCAAATAGTATGCTTGGAATTGTTGCCAGAAATTTCAAACACCTTTCCGAGGCAGCATTTGTAACCTTGTTTAAGTCATTGGTTCGTTCGCTCCTAGAGTACGGCGTACAAGCATGGCATCCTTATAGAATTGGTTTGATAGATGAAATTGAAAAGGTTCAGAGAAAAGTGAATTCTTGCAAGGAGCTTCCATATGAAAATAGATTAAAGAAACTTAATTTGCCCTCTCTTGCCTACAGGCGTCGTAGAGCTGATCTCATATTGCTGTATAGAATAATCCATGGGGAAATTATGGAGGATATCAGTCCAAGGGTAATGTTCTCTTGTTATGATCGAACTCGAGGTCACAATCTGAAGTTATCTATAGGTGCTTGCCACAAAAACAGTAGGAAGTATTTCTTTTCTAACAGATCGGTTGATGATTGGAACAAATTGCCATCAGCTGCTGTAAATTCATCCTCTCTATGCGGTTTTAAATCGGCAATAGACAATTTTTTTGGAGATGTCATGTTTGATTGGAGGGCTAATTTCTGATAATTTCTGATAATCTCAATAATATTGTGTCTTTTGTTTATTTTCCTATATTTATAAATTTAAATTTTCGTTGACTCAATTTTTTATATTCTCTGTTAAAAATCCTTTGTTTCGGTTCGTCTTCAATTTTGGTTTTTTATTATATTTGTGATTGTATTAACTAGACAGATTTTGTTGTTGATTCAATTTCCTGTTTGGTTGCCACTGTAATGACTTTGTTAAACATCTAATGAAGCTAACTCATTTAATTTTATAATGACAATTTGATTTCTATCTTAATCAGTTTTTAATTTTTAAGGGTTTATTTTTGTTACTTTTGATTTTTATTTGGTTGGCAATGGGCTATGCCCGAGCTATTTCTAATAATAAAACATGAAACAAACTTCTATCCTGTATATCGGCATGTTTTGTTTTATGTAACAAAGCTGAAACAAATCTAACAAAAAATTATATTACAAAATGGCAGAGGCTTGAAATTTTGACTTAGTGCTTATTAAAATCTGAAAAACCAAGTTTCTGTTTGTGAATTTGTTTATCTGTCTAGTTATCGCCTCGTCAATGTGTTTGCTTGCTTGTCTTTTTGTATGTCTTTCTGTCTGTTGGTCATCGGTATCTTTCATCCAAATAAAACAAATCAATAAAAACACATTAAAATCAAGAACAGCCAGTTGAAAATGATAACAAAATAGTCGAAATTTAGACAGTAAACTGTAAATTTACTCATGAGTGTAACACTCTCTTGTATGAAGTGGATAGTTGGTGGATATTTTTTTTATTTCTTTTCAAAGTCATATATATATATATTAATATATATATATATATATATATATATATATATATATATATATATATATAGAGTTATATATATATATACATATATATATAAACATATATATATATATATATGTATATACGAAAATTACTAGGATACTTTCAACTTCGAAAAGGCCCTAATAAAGTAATTTTCATGGGACTTCCGCAACCATTAAAAGCTAAGCCTAATAGTGAGCCATAGTTTCATCAGGACTGCAGTGAAAGCCACCAGCCGACCAACCAAACATTCCATGCATTTCATAATTGCACTGCAACTATAAAATAAAATAATGGCAACAACGATAAACAGTTAATCAATAACAAGAACATTAACGATTTCAAAAAGATTGACAACATTAACAACTTCAGCAACATCAACAACTTCAACAACATCAACAACATTAACAACATTAAAAACATCAACAACATTAGCAACATCAACAACATCAACAACATTACCAGCATTAACATCAACTAGTGTGGATTTCGTTTCAAAAATTTTTTTCGTTCCAATTTAGTTAAATTTTTCGTCTTTGTTTTCGTTTCCTTTTGAAAAAATTTTTTCGCTTCCAGGTTTTATACCGTCTTGTAAATATTTAAAAAAATACACCCCATTTCTTATCATAATAAAATAATAAATTATGAGGTGTATACAAAAAACAAAGATTTTAAACTTCTTTTGTCAAAAATCTGCTCATCTAATAAAAAAAATTTGTTTTCAAGATTATTATCCATTTGTTACTAATATGCATGGAGGTTTCAATTTTGTATCAAATGTTTTGAACATGGATTGAAAGCAGTTTTGCATCGACAGAAGCGTTGGAGAGTAGTTGATCTGTTGTATTTTTCTGTTGCATTCGATCGAATCTTCATTCCAATATCCATTTTCTCTGATCAATTGAAACAAGTTTTTGCAGACGTTTGATTTTGTAGAGGCAGGTGACACTCGGCTGGCATTTTTTCTCCTTCGCTCTTCTTTGACCAAGAGCTCTTTGTATACTTTTGAATGATATGTCTCTATTTGGGTTTTTAACTTGAAAAAATTTTTTCTTTCATAATTTTTTTCACTTGCTATCGTTTCCCAAACACGCGCACGCATCATCTCCAACGCTGTTTTTGAAGTAACCAGGCAGTGGGCGGCACTCTCTTCGGCGGCATGAAAGGTTCTTCATTCAAAAATTTATTTCTCTTTAACAATTGTTTTTAAAAAATAAATAAACGAAATCAACAATTAAAAATCAAAAATTTTCCACGATTTCAACACTCAACGGTTACGATCTCAACCGTCGGATTGATGGAAGCAAAAAAAATGACAATCGATAACATTGAATAAAAACAAAAATAAATTCAAACGAAGATTATAAATAGCGTCTTAAAATTTTTAAAAATATTTTGCAAAAATTGATCGGCGCAAAATGTTTTTGTTTTAACTTTTTTCAATTTTTCCCCGTTTCGTTTCAGGTTTTTGGAAAATATTCGTTTCCGTATTTGTTTTCTTATTTTAACAAAAAAATTTTTTCCTTTTTGCTCGTTTAAGTTTTCGTTTGCCTTAACAAAATCCACACAAAAATCTCCATGACGATGTGATGATGACGCAAGCAATGATGAGAATTATAGCTGAATGGACAATGGAGGAAATAAGTATGACAGTGATGATGACGACATCAACAATAATGATGATAATTATGATAAGAAAGTTGTGGTGACGGTGATGGTGATGATGATGGTGTCATAGGATGACAATGTTGGGGAAAACATTATCCAAACTCAAGGAAAATGTGACGTTGTTGTAGCTGCTAACAACAACTGCGAATGCAATCAATATTCGTGACAGCAGTGAGGAAACGATGACAGCAACACCAACGTACTGTTTGTCTATTAATGTCGTCAGAACGTTTTTTCGCTGGAATTTCACACCCCACCCGACATCAATTATTCACGAACCATCCATCGATACACTTCATCAATCTCTTAACGCACTTTTGTGCCATGAAAATAAATTTTCAGCTTATATTGGCATTGTTGTATCACTTCTTGTTAATGGATATTGAGTTATTGCAATGTTTCGTTGTCCTTGCTCGCTTGTTTTTTCCAACACTACCTCGTTGATGTAAAGGATGCCTTTCCATTTGAAATAAAATTTTTTTTAATTTTTTATTGCGAGGCATTTTGTTTGGAGTCAAAGTTTTCTTGCATACTTTAAGTTTGCGACTGAAAATAAAAGTTCACTAATAACATAAACAAATTTTTTTTCGAAGTAACGAAGAAGCGATATTTTTAAAGCATCAATATTGGCTGTTAATTTGTTTCAAGTTTGTGAGCTGACACAAACAAGAAATATGTAAATACTACATCTCTATAGGAATGATAGATGCATCACATGTTGAGGAGTGCCCGCCAATCTATGTTCTTGTCTTCCAAGTTTTGTAGGGGTAGTTAGTTAAAGTAGTACAAGGTTGACAGTCTTTCATATTGTCAAAAGTATTAGCTGCAGAGCTGCAGTAGCATTTGTAATGGTTATTATTAATATTATATTTGAAAATATTGAATGAACAACAAACATCTGATGGCCCACATCAGCAAATATTCATGTCCGATATATTTTTAGTTATTATTAATTCATACATTACGATTCATTCCGACATTTGTTTTCAATAATGGATATTATTTTTACAGTTATTGTTATAACGGCCTTCGCGTCAATGTTATTGTTGGAGCAGCTGTTATCGTAAATAATGACGCTCGGAACTGGACGTTTGTGTGCCGCGATGTTGTCCTGTTTCTGCTACTGCTGCTGCTCTGTGTGTGTGCGTGCGTGTGTGTTTGTGTTTGTGTGTGTTTGTGTGTGTTAGAGCTCCAAGCGGATATTCGCAATGCGGTTTCAAACCAAAATTTCCCGAAACTCCGCGGAATTTGCGGTTTGCGGATCTCGTCTGTGCGGTTTGCCACGGATGCGGATTCAAGTGCGTTATTCAAAATCCGCCAGCAAAATTAAATTTTTAATTTTCAAAAATTTTCAGATTAAAATTTTTGTTTTTTCGTTTGTTTGCTTATATGTACGTGTGTGAGTATTTAGGTGTATTTATGGACCATAGCTGAATCTCCCTAAGGTCCACATTACCAAGCAAGCCGGCGAGATGGCTCAGTGGTTCAAATGCGCGCTGATTCAAACATCTCAATGGCTATCATATACTCAGAGTATATGATGCGGTGCTTGCGCGTGCACATAAATACATGTGTACGTCGTGTGAAAAGAATAAACAGCCTTTGTGGTGAAGATGGCTGCTTCAAATCAATGGTTGAAGATATGAAGAACATAATAATATATGTAACATTGTAAGTGGTTCTGCGTATGTCTATAGACTACAATAATATTGACTAATAAAAAAAACCAGCTTTACACACACACACACACACACACACATACACACACACACACACACACACACATATATGTATGTACAGTACATATATGTGTAGGTTAATTTGTATATAAAAATGCGTGTGTCATATATGTGTATAATATAATATATGGTGATAATTTACTTGTGTATGGTTTATAGATACATATATAACATCTTCCTAAATACTAAATAAATAAATAGCTTGTTTGAGTTCCTTATCGTCGTTCATTTTGTGCTCGTTGTTCTGGCCTATGTTATTTCAATTATTAAATTAGAAATTTATTAAATTGAAAGATACCTTCTCAGCAGATTATCTGCTGTCTGATTATATTTAAATTGTAAATAAATTGCTCTCTAGTGTTGCTATCTTTTAATTTTAAACGAGTGCGGTGCAGATGCGGTGCGGATAATGAGCAATGTGGATGCGGGCAGTTGCGGACGTTTGAAAAAATCTTCTCTGCTTGGGGCTCTAGGTGTGTTTGTGTATGTGTTGTATGTGTGTGTGTGTTTGTGTGTGTGTGTAACGTGTATGAAGTGGCTCTGTGGCAGAAGATTTTCTGCATAAGCTTGATTGATATTATAGATACATACATGTGTGTGTGTGTGTGTGTGTGTGCATGGGTGTGCGTGTATTATTGTGTATCTGGCCTCAAGTATAGCTAAATGATATGTACGTGACTTTGGATTTGTGTTTATTTCTAGATTTTATTGTACAACATGTATGTGCATCCAGATAAATCCAGATGATATTCTTATCCGTAGTGTGCATGTGGATGTGTGTAGATGTGTGCGTGAAAGTGTGTGTGGAAGTGTGTGTGGATTTGCGTAAATGTATGTGTGTAAATGTGTGTATATGGATGCATGGATGTGTTGCACGACCATGCGTATGCATTTCGAGTAGTCTCATAAGTTCTCATTATGAAGCCTGTTGTTTCAATTTGTTGAGTTTTGAGATTTATGCTTTTTTATAAAAAAAAGATGATAAAAATGATGATGATGATGGTGATGATGACGGTGACGATGATGAAGATGATGATGAAGAGATGATGATGATAAAGATGGTCATTACAATTATCTGAGGAAGTAAATTAAAATGATAAAGTGTGGG